AGGACAGAATGGATAGCAACAACATACACCTTACTTCCACAAGAAACCAGGCTAGAAGTAGAAGCTCCTTATTTGCTTCCACACTATGGAATTTGCCAGTCTGTGGTCAAACGGCTCAGTGTCTGACAATTTTCAAGGCTCAGGCTCCCATGCTGCTCACTGTTCAAGGGTCTCTGTGCACAAAGTCTCAGAGCACGTCTGCTTTTGAGATGTTGTGGGGATCACATGACCCAAAAAGCATTTCTTATTTTTAAACCAGGTCATGACTCCAATAACTTTCATATTCCCAGCTGACAAGAACACAGATCTGACAAACAGCAGCAACACCACAGCTTGAGAGCTCTCAGAGGCTGCCATGCCAGCCCTACTGGCCATCTCCAATGACAGAGTGCTCTTTGCAAATGACTCCTGCTTAAATAACACAGAAGCACTGTCTCCTCCTTTCAGCAGGGAGTTGTTCTAAAGAACATGTAGCATTTTCCTTTCCAAAGCTTTGTTTATAACCCAGCCACAGGGCTCTTGTTAGACTGACTTTCACATATGAGGAGCATAGCGGATGACTTCTAAATAAATACTTGTATAACAGTACTACTTTTAAAAAGAGACTTCTGTATCTCCTTTAACTGACTTCAGACTAGAAATGCGCCAATAGGGCATAAAATTGCATTTACTTTAAACAGGCTACCTCACAAAGGGAATGACTGCTTAGTTTTCTCCAGGTCACTAAGAAATCATAGCATTTACACTATTTACAACAGATTTTACACTTGCAGAGCATCTTGTGTTCCAAAGAACCAAAAGAAACCCCTCCAACAAGACCCCCAAAATACACTGCAGAGTTATAGGCAGCTGAGGCCTAATCCATTCACTTTTGTCACTGAAAAGAGGCCACTTCGTGGCTAATGCATGGCAACAGTCTACACTACCCAAGAACAGCGAGTCTGTTTGCTTATGGCAGTGCAGCGAATTCAAAGCCTGGATTTTAAAACAAAAGGATCACTACTAAGCAATGCTTTCCCCAGAGAGATATCCTCACAACTCGAGGATGCTGCACAGTCAACACCAAAACTGTGCTGAATCCTGCAGTATACTAAAAGTATGCTTATCCTGTATTACAAGGAGTTGATGGTAAAGTTATACCTTAGTAGCATTTATTGATGAATGAGAGTTTCAGACTAGTTTTAGTTACAGAAATTAAATTATACCATCAAAATATGGTATAATTTACAAACTTGTGCAAACCATGCAAAGTTTGTTCATGTAAGCAGGAGGAGTAACTGTACATCAATGGAGGAGCTGTGAAACTTTAGGGTCATCTTTGTGCATTTTTCCTAACAAAACTGCTGAAGTCACAGGTTAATTTGGAAGGAAGGCTGAGAAGTGCCAGCCAGGAGTCTCTGAGCCTGCCTCTGAGGGTCATGTGCACAGAGGGAAGCGTCAAACTTGGGTATTACGTTTGCTCCGACCGTTTCCATGTTTGTAGGTTTTCAATTCTACACATAGCCTGGGATCAGTGTCATTCTAATAATAATCTTCCATATGGCATATAACAGCTCTAAATTAATCTTCCCTTACTGAAACGCCAGAGCTCAGTCCAATATGCATATATGAAGGACATCATAGGCAAAAAAGATGTGGGAAGTGGAAACATATTACCAGTGCTTCCCTTAGAACCAGGCTCATTCATTGCAGGTATTTCCATGTTTAAAGTAAAAGAATGAAGTGTTCTTGTATGCAAGTCTGCAAGGTAAAAGTACAGTACTATTGCTTCAATACTGGCTCTAACAAAGAATATGATATTACAAGGATTATGAGGTAAGGAAGGAAAGCCAAGAATAACAGTCAAGATATGAATAAGGATCAGTAAGTCTTTGTTCAGAAATTGATGTAGCACAAGAGTGAGTCAGGAAAGCATTTGATATAGATATCTCTCTAAATAACCCTCTCCTTCACTAACCCCCTTCTACAGATGCACAACAAAAGCCGTATTTCCATGCTGAAACATGCATACAGTACCTCTTAATTCTCTAACATACCCATCAGGAGCAAAGTGAGAAAAGGAAGATAAAGGAATAAAATTAGGATAAGCAGAACATAGAGGACTCACATATTCAGTTAAGATTCACTCATATTAATTAACATTTCTTGTAAGAAAAACATTACAAAAAATCAAGTATATTCAGCAAACACAGCATCTTTGTTAAAAAAACAACAAGATAAACGTGATAAAGATAATTCTAATAGCAGAGGGGGAAGAAGCCATGGTTACAGAGCAAATCTGGTATCAAAATCTTCACTGAAACACAGAGGAAGCATCATTCACTGACAATTCCTACCCCCACAGATGTCAGTGACAGAAGCTGCCCATGTCAGAAGCGTAGAATTCAGAGATGTAAAATGAGAAACGATGAATCAACATTATTACAACTGAAATTAACCTTATCCTTCCTCCCTGTGAGAACAATTTAAGCATTGGCTAGATGAGAAGATATATGGAGCTAATTCTTCCAAGACTGCCTAGCATGTCAGGTCTGAACTGGATGTTCTGGTCTCAGGCTTGTACTCCATCACAGAATCAGAAGACAGCTTATGTCCTAGTTTCTCAGTTTTTGAAGCTCCTGAGACCACTTTACAACTCCCTGGTTCCCCATCACCAATGGGTTCACTGGAAAAGTCCTCTCTGGCAATATACCACCTTCATCTGTCAGATCAGTGCGACAGAAGGAAAGGAAAAGGAATCTGATACTGACCTCTGCAATGTGCTGGGTTCCTCCTCATACATGAAACCATTGTTCACTGCTTCAAAACAAAGCCAGTTATTTCCCTACACACACTGCAGAGCACTCAGAGCAGCCCTGGGGCAGCTGAGGCTTTGGTGCTCTCCCCTTTCTATCAGCTAGAAAGTTGAATTACTGAATGGAGACTGATCAGAATATGACGTCTGAGAAAAACTGTGATTGAAAATATCTGCTTCCCTTTTTCCTACAGAACACTAAAATGTCCTGAAGCTATTTTTTACCCTTCTTTATTCTCCCCCTTTCTTAGGTCCCTCTGCATGATACCTTTCCTGGTGGTGTTATCTCTTCTGACCACCACCCTGCAAACTGAACAGGCCATCAAGTAAGCACAAAGCAGAACTGATCCCTACAAAGCTGGGCCCTACCCTGGTGCTAACTATGAAAAACAAACTTCTTGGATGATCTTACATGAGTTCCAGTGAGCTCTTAGTTATCAGCTTGGGTGTGATCAACAGGTCTCTTTTTTGGAAAAGCTCCTGTGACTTATGTTCAGGACCCAAACAGATTATGGGCTTTCACACTAGGCAGCTAGCTCTTCTGAAACACCTTTGCCTTCTCCCATGCCTTCAGAATAAATCACTGAACAGGTGTTTCCCTGAGCTTGCAAAATTACTGTTCAGTTGTTTCAATGCACCTATGAGAAAAAAATCCTCTCTGTTGCTGGGCCTTTTTCCACCCCAAGTATTTTTAGTATATCCACTTCCTACATATTTAGACAATAAATCCAGTTTGCTTCTTATTTCTAGAAGTGCCAATGCTTTAAGCATCTCTTTGGTGAAAGAGTACAGCCTAGTGGCAGGAAAATGAAAGATGGGCCCCTGTTCCACTTCTCTACTTGCCTGGCGAGACAAAGCATGACACAGAACTTGACATTACACCAGTTACAAATGAAAGTTACTTCTGAATGGATTACAAAACCTGAATGTTCCACTAACTGATACACTGACAGAAAATATTAAAGGGGAAACAGAACAACAAATCCCTGTCTTCCTTTATTTTTTTAGGGCAACAGTATTGGTGTGAGCTTAAGGATATAAAGAAAAAGAGGACTTGTAAGGGGCAATTGGTTTTCTTAGACCCACTGATACAGCTGGAAAAAATGATCAAATTTTCATGCTGACAATCTCTTTTTCACCTGAGACATTTTATGAGATACCTGATGAAAGGGCTCAGATTAAGGTTTCACTTCTGGACACGTGAGCTGGTCTGATAAAAGACATTACTTCTCCAGCTGAGGTCCTCTGTTACAAGATTGAGAGAGTGCAATGAAGCCTCCTGTGTCACTAGATCTGAACCCTGTCTGAAAAAGGCAACCTGGGAAGCAGAAGAGTGGAATTCAGTTTCACTGACCTTTTGCTAGCTTGTGATTTACAAACCAGGCCCTACTTGACAAAGGGGACAGGGACCTATATAATGCTGCCACACCAAATGACTGGGTTTTTTTTTGGTTGTTGTGTTTTTTGCTTGGGTTTTTTGTTGTCTGTTTATTGGGTTTTGTTTGTTTTTAATAAGATCACAAAAGCTTCCCACAAATCTGCAGTCCCATGAACTAGGCAGAAAGAGCAAACTCGTATGCCCCAACCAGAGAGCCACCAGATGATAACAGCTATTCACTGATAATACAAAATGATATGGTAACTCTCATGTTGCTGATGCTCCAGGAAAGCAGCAGCACCAGCAACTGGGAAGTCACTTGTTAACAAGAGGAGTTAGAAATAAGAAAAGGATAGTTCTGATCCTTCAGACTTAATACATGCTGTGCTTGTTCTTGCGACTGCCAGTACATAAGTCAGGCATAAATGGCAACACAAAGGCTTTGGAAATGATATGGATCTTATTCATCCTGCCTACCACTACCGGGACTGAATTCCTGTATTTGATTGAAGGTTTGCCAATTATGAACTGTGAGAATTTAATGGAATTGCTATGAAAAAGAAATTAAATAAAGCTGAAGACACAGCCTGACAGTATACATATATCCAATGACAGCACTTGAGCCCACCTTAAAAGTGTAACAATGATTTTCAGACCTAAACTAAACAAAACCAAAACAAAACCAAAGTAAAATACAATCAACCTAAACCAAAGTCTCTGTAGCCCACTGAGAAATACAGTGGCACTCATGGTCATCTGGCTAGTCTTGTTCAAAATGTCTGGAACAAACACCTGTAACAAAGTACTAGTAACACGAATGCTCTATACCTGCATCTTCCTCTTGACAGTCTCAAAGGGGAAGGAAAGTGTCTGTGCCACAGCAGCTGCTACACAGCCATTGATGAAGTTCTGAAGAGGAGTGAAATGAACGATGGGTTCTTGCCAGATTTTGTCCAGATTGATGTAAACAAAGAATGAGCCAGCAGAAAATGGGACAGCACCTAGAAAGCAAACCAGACAGGTTTATAGCAACACACTGTACACTAAGAGCTGCTCATCACATCATCTAGAAAGACAGGATAAATTTGCTGACAGTTTGCACCCCACATTGCTCAAACCCGATGAGTATTTTTGAAGAACTTTACTTTTTAGTCACTGCTTTACCACCAAACACCCATATTGTAGCACACAGATGTGCTGACAGGGGCATACATTTACACAGTAAAATGCAAATGTTGCCAGAATTATTAACTGCTTTAGTCTCATGACAGGTCAGCTCTTTCACCAGGTTTCTCTTTTGGGACAAGCTCTTACTCCAGTCCATCCCAACCCTGGCAGCTGTACAGGTACACAAAGTGGCCTCTTCAGTCAAAGCTGATCAGGGATACTTCTCTCCTCTTCTGCTTGTTTCGTGGTCTCATCAATTTTGTAGTGGAATTATACATTATTGTTGTTGATGTTATTATTATTTTATAATATCATATTGTGGAAATATGGACTCAAAATTAAATGGCATTTTTAAAAGCTATGAAGAGTGAAAAGTAATATAAAGAGGGGATATCACTAATCATCACTTTTCACATCAGTTATACATCACTGCTCATACTGGTTTCACTGAACAACCAGGGAAACACTGTCACACACAGACAAGAATTAGGAACACTGTGTGTGTTTATTTATTTAAGAGTTGAATGGTGCAAACCTTGCATCAGAGCACAACTAGATCATCTAGAGAAGAAGGAAAAGAATATTTTGTTGAATACTTAACCATAAATAAAATGCTATGCACTTGGTCATAATTAGAAGTAATAAAGCTGCAGCAATCACTGTTGTGCTTGCAAACCTTTCTGCTGAAGGCTACAGAAAAACATTACTATTTGCTTTTGAAATCAAGTGAGCAAATGAACACAGTACACACTGCACTAAACCCTGTGCAATGAGGTGATCCTTCCCCACTATTATTTTACCTAATATAGCTGGTGAAACGCCACGGTAGAGTGCAAGGAGTCCCTCTTGATGATAAATTTTGTAAAAAGCATGAACAATTCCTTCATAAGATGGCTCCAGTCGGTTCTGCACAATGAGCCGTGTTTTAATCACATCCGTGGGGTAAGTCACGATGGTTGCAACCATGCCAGCCAGGCTTCCTGCCATGATGGCTCTCCAGTGGGAAATATGACCCAACTCATCAGTAAAAAGTATAACAAGTCTCGAGTGAACACAAAGAAGAGGTACTGTTAGTGACAGTATGAACACAACACGTGAAAAATTAAGGTAGATTATTCTTGATGTAATTGCTCTTCTGCCCACAAGCCCCTTCAGCAGCAGGAGTTGAAACTTTAACGTGTTTCATCCAAGACCTTGCCATATATAACCCCACACAAACATCGGAACCTCTGTGAAACAGAATATGTGAGTGGACAAGCATAAGCAGTCTAAAAAATGTGTCTCAGAGCCCAGAGAGAACTTGGGTAAGTCCATGCTGCACTGAAGTGCAGAAATGGAAAAGGTACAGTTAATAACAAAGTCAGGGACTGGAATATATAACTCAGCAAATGCAATCTGCTTTGATTTTACTGAGCTAAAATACTTTCAGTACCTGAAAGAGCTTTTTCAGAAGCAGCTTGCATAGCTCTACCTACACCACACTTCTCAGCACAGATGAAGCTCCCACAGTTTGAGCTGTGGAGCCATGCTGGAGGCCCAGAGCACCAATTCAACAATGAGAAAGACCTTCAAATATAGAACTTGTTTGCTTCGCAAGAGACTTTTACAGTAATTTTTGACCTCAGAATCCTCATTTATATTTCCATCCACAGGATGAAAATTACCATGACTTAAAGCATGTCTGCAAGAAATCGTCTGATCATCAGAGACATCGGTACACACACCCAGTCAAAGCTATCATGTATGAAGAAATACACAGATAAAGTCATCACAGGCCTTCTGAGAGCAATTGAACCTTTCTCTGTTGCTTACTTTGGGACAGAAAGGTCCACAGGGATACATCACTAGAGAAGACGTCTGTCATGGCACTATTATGCTCAGGAGGTTAAATCTAAATCTGAAATTTTTAAATTGAAGCACAGAGTTTTAAAGACTAACATACAACTCACACGTTTGCGACACCCAGGACTTCACACAGCACAGAGTTTTAAAGACTAACCTACAACTCACATGTTTGTGACACCCAGGACTTCCCTGTGTACACAGAGCACTCCTACATCAGGGAGAAGTGTCACGGGGGGCGGCAAGAAGCAAGTAAAAAGATTTGAGAGGACAATCTTAGCTGGAGGTAAAGAAACTTATTATTCTATTTTAGAAGCATGAATTGCCTGAACAGCAGATTTACGTTTAAACTACACAGCGTTACCACATCCAAAGTAATTTGCAAACATTTACAAGTCACTGCTTGCTCAGTTGATGTTTTCTCACATGATCGCACATTTTCTTTCTACCGCATGACAGGTCCCTGCATCTACTTGTCTCGTGCCCTGGAGACAGCCCAGCACAGAAAGACCAGCCGAGCAGAAGCGATAGGGCATAAACCTTTCCTCTTTGTGTCTTGTACAGTCCCTAACGCAACACAGCCTGATTTTCCTGTGTGTGCACAGACGCATGGGGAGGGTGCTGGCGTGTCTCTGGGCACTACCCAGGTAACACTGAAGACTGCCATGGGAAGAGGGAGTATGTGCACAGTAACCACAGAGGGAGTGCAGCCAGCTAAACCCCACTGCTGTGCCTGGGCCTGCCATTGTGCTCAGCCCAGGTCCTTCTGCAAGTGCCACTACCCTTTATTGAAGTTGCCATGTAACATTTCTCTGTTTTCTGCCTTTATATACACCGCTTTCCCACTAGAAAATACAGCCCCTCAAAAATCCACAAATAATATACGAACAATACGCCTAGGTGGCTTTTATATAATTTTCTGGTAACCTACCTCCATTTGTTTTTCAAAAGAACACTCAGCGCAAACCAGAGATAAACTATAGCCTTGTGAAACTGTTTCAAGCTGAATAAAGTGAGCTATTTCGCTCAAGATCAACTGGTTTATAAACGTACATCACCCTGGCTCTTATGGGAACTTTAAATCACTGTTTCTGCCCCCCACTGCCACGATGCCCCCTCCCTTGCGTGACCACCGCACCCATTACAGGCAGGACACAACAAAGCTGCCCAGTTCCAGGGTTGCTTCATCCATCTGTCACTTCCCGAGAGGCACTGGCAGAGCGGGGAGGACAACTCCTGCTCAGGCAGATGAATGACAAACCCACAGCGTCAGCCTGGGTGGCAGCCGCAGCGCGCCGGATTGGCCAGCACAGGCTGAGACCATGCTTCTTCCCACCCAGCACAGCCCAGCATCGCCCAGCTGGGCAGAAATGTCAAGTGCATTCCGTACACATGGCTGGCCTGAATTCAAACCGAAACAAAACAAGAAGTGGCAAAACACGCTAGTGCGTGCCAACAGCGGGGCACTCCTTTCACAGACCAAAAGATACTGGCAGCAACAGGGAATCCTAGGAAACAGCACGGGCTGGCAGAGCTCAGCCAGCACTGCTCTATGTTGATCCTGCCGCATTCCTCCCAGTGTTTACCCTGATTTGCCTGTGTATTATTGAAAACAAGGTCTTAAAAGAAAATAATGCCAAGTATGAACTTCAAACCAAGTCAAATTTGCATAACAGCCCCTGCATAACTGGGAAGAACATTTAAATAATGGTTTCGTTATTTTCTTTGATACAGACAATATAAATACTTGAGAGCATATTAAAGTGTTGCAAAGAGCAGCCACCACAGTCAGTTGTAGGTAGCACTGCAACTTCATTTCTGAAGGAATCTGACAACAGACTATCTAACCACCTTTCACCTTCTGAAGAACACCTATGACTTTATAAGCAGTTGCTGACCAGCCCCTAAGAGTTGCTGCGTGCTGAATAAACTAAACACGTCATTATCCAGAGTACCTGTCCTAGGGTGAGAGCACACACAGCCAGTCAACCACCCTTAAGACATGTAAGAGCCCCTACGGACGAAGCTCTCCATTTTCCAACCCCTCTTCTGCAACAGACACGAAAGGCGAGAGAGCGCAGGCGGGGCCGAGCCCGAGACCCCTCGCTTACCGGCGGGAAGCGGCGAGCTGCAGCGCGCTGTAGGGGAAGAGGCGCAGGCAGGCGGTGAGGTTCCCCTTCCAGAGCGCCCGCACGCCCTCGGCCCGGCACAGGCTCGGCCCGGCGCTGCGCAGCCCCCGCCGGCAGTGCCAGGTGCCCACCTGCGCCAGCACCGTCAGCAGCTCCAGCGGCGCCGTCAGGCTGAGGCTCAGCGCGCCCGCCAGCGCGGCGCAGCCCAGGCGCTGCACGGCCGTCACCCGCGCGTCCCGCCGCCAGGTGGCCATGGCCCGCGGGCCGCGCCGCGCACCCCCAGACCGCACCGGAGCCGCTCCGCTCGGCGCGGCGGCGGCTCCGGGCTCGGCCAGAGCGGGGGGCGGTACCCGCAGCTCGGGTGCTGTGCGGGGAGGCCCCGCCCAGGGCGCGCTGTCTGTCTGGAGGCGGAAGGGAAAGGCAGGCGGTGCTGGTATCGCTTCGTTTGGCCCGGCGCTGCCGGCCGGGAGCGCCCCGGCCTTAGGGGCGGCTTGCCGCCGGGCAGACAGCTGCCACTGGCACGGTGCTAGGGGCCGGCGAGCCTCGGGCCTGGGCCGTAGCAGCATGGAGGAGAGCCGCAGTGCTCGCTGCTCCTGCGTGTATTCAGACTCACACAGTATTACACCAACATACAATCGTAGAATGGTTTGGGTTGGAAATGACGTATTTGCTTGGTGGGAAGAAAACGGTTAATCGCCATGGAGGAGAAAAAACTGTTTAAAGGAATATTTCAAAACAGCAGTAAATGGATATAAACTTCAACAGTGAATGGGTATAAACTTCCATATACATTAATACTGCTTGGAAACAGAAGACTTCTAACCATAAAAGGGTAATATTTGTTCTAGGGGTTTGTGTTTCTTGCTCATCTGCACAAGACAAACCTCAAGATTCTTCCTGAGCACAGTTTTTTTTCCACCCAGTCTTCCCATTTCCATTTCTCATTTTTGGCTGAGTTTTTGTGTACATGTTCTGGCTGATAAAATGAATCAGCAGATAATGTCGGCCTTCTGCGGCACAAACTAAACCATGGAAGAGATGGTGGTTGGGGTGAGTTTGCCTGTTATTTTTTCTCTTGTGTAAAGGCACCTGTCAAAATAAAACCAGTCATTAAAATGATAATAATAAAACCAATATTAAATAACAGAGTGTTACTCGCAGGAACTAAGAGCACTAAAAAATAACACTGGAAATTGCATCTTTCCTGACAGCCCAGTCAAATTTACATTGTTTATGCCCTACTTAGTTTCCTGTACCTCACAAGCTAGCACTGCAGAAACAATCAGAGCAAGTGAATCCTCTGAGGGAACTGATTTTCTTTTGCTGCTTTTGTTATTCATATAAAAATATGTTTTTATTATAGTTGGAGACTAAATGTCACTGAACATACGTCTTATGCAGGTGAGTCCTTTGTACGAACTAGTCTGAAATCACTTTTATTTACGAGAAGATACCTGTGCATTTCTTTATACTTTGTCTTGCATAGTTGCAGTTAATACAGAACAATGTATAGTGTCTTTAAAGTAGCTACTAGATTCCTACACTGACATCATCCCACATTACTATATGGCTTTTAAGCACTCATGCCATCTTTTAAATGTCTCAGACACCCTTGCAAGGAGAACATCAAGTTCTGGATTGGTTTTGGTGGGGTTTTGGGCTGGGTTTTTTTTTAATCTCTGCAAGTAGTTTGGTCACTATCAATGAGTTGCTTCAGGATAATATAGTTGTGGCTAACATCAGGATCAGGCACAACACTGAAATCTGCCACACGCTGGTTTTATTAGTAAAGTGGTGTCAGAGCTTGCTGACACTTTAAATGTCAAATTAAATTCCATTCTGCTCTGACCCTGTCTTCCTCAAACATGTCAGTACCTAACAAGAATGTGTTTAAAGTCTCACAGGAAACTTCTGAGGTCAAGGAGGGAGAATGCACAAAGCTGTCAAAAAACCTACTCTTCAGCCCATGCCATCCCCACATACAAATTAGAAAAGCTCTAGATTTAGCACTACTCAGAGGTGTTCAGTTGCCTCTGCTTTCCAGGACATTTGCTGGAGACTTCCAGGGCAACAAAATGCTCAGGGTCCATTCCTTCACTGGTCGTGGGAGGAGAAGCCACTCCAACGAGCAGCTGCATTGTCCAATGACCAATAGTGAGAATTAGCAGATCTGCCTGTGACAACCCAGGACGTCTGCTACCAAGCCAGAAATAGAACGTTACAGTTCCTCTCCTGTGACTTAATCACAAGCCTGCCCTTCTGTACTAAGAGCAATGCACAGTGCTAGCTGGCTTTGCTGGTTTTAAAGCAGACTTTAGAAAACGGAAGCCACCAAGAAACTTCTTCAGTCTCTCCGTATCTACAACAAAGAGCTCATGCTAGAATTAATGATGTTGACACACATTCTAACCATAGCTCAGGAATACTATAAACAAATTATATTAAGAAGAATTGTGTAGTCTGGACTTTCTTTATAAAGAAACTCCAGAATGTCCTTGCCTGTCTGGCAGGACAGCTTATGTTATGGAGATTAATTCTCCTAACAGCCAAAATTTACCAAACACCCATGTATATATGAAGTATTTGAGGTAACCTTGTTGTAGGTTAAACCCACCATCGTACAGGCTGATTAGAAAGACCTGGCAGGAAAGTTAAACATAGTAAAAACAAAACAAAACAAAACCACAAGGTACTTTTTAATATTGCCTTAATGAAATGCAAGTTGAACAGATTTTCCATGCAGCCAGCCAGTGGATGGCAGTATTCAGCCCATCATTCAGGTGTTTCCACATTCAGAAAGTGGTTGTGGAGCTGATCTACTTCTCACTCAGTAACTGATCATATCAGCTCTAGGGAAAGAATATTTCAGCAGTGCACAGATTAGTTTCATGAGCCAAACTTGCAAAGACAGCTATCTGCAACAAGGAAGGTTGTATCATTGTTATTTATGTAACAAAACTATGCAAGTTTCCTAATGTCCCTTGGAATAGTTCTTGGTGTTCTATTGCAACGTTAAATGCAAGATGGAGGTTTGATTTTTTTCCTATAGATTGTACAATCTAAAGTAGGGAGACAATAGTTTCAATATGGAAAGTCATTTCAGCTTTTAAATTACTTGAGCAGTATGCAGCATCCAGACATAATTCCTGGAATGACATTACCGAACCACAGGCAGAACCATAGCCAAGGTTCTTACTTGCACGTACTTAAACATGCTTCATGCCCAAAGCTTCTTTCAACCCCCCTCCTCCTCAGCCTATTCCTGAAGCTCCCAGGCAAAGCTTGTTTACATGCATGGGTTGCCAGGCTTCAAATCAAACCCAATTGACATGCAGTCAGTTATGATGGTGCAATATCTGTGTCAACACGCCTGTGAATTAAAGTTGATTTACCTCAAATCCACTTTAGTTAAATTAGAATAAACCCAGAATAAACAAATGAGCTGGTTCTGCAGAGTCCTTTGCACCAGTTTTGCCTAAACTTATTTTCAAAGACATCACACGAGTTGTGCAGGTAGGGTTTCACCTTTCCTTGCTGTTCACTTTTAAGAAGAAAGTTTTTGTAGGAGTAGAGATAATATAGGGTCTGTACAGTCTAGGTAGGTAACAGATGGGATGAAGCCTAGAAGATTGCAGGTCGCTGAGAAAAGTGAAACTATTCTGCAAGAGGGAGATGTGGGATAATTATGCCATTCAATGTCTCAGACATTGTATCTTTTGCATAAACCGAGATAGCTAATACTGGCTCAAAATTGTATCTGCAGAACAACTCTGTATTTTCTCATTGCCTGTATAAACATCCAATCCACTTCTGCAGAAAGGTGCTCAGTCTCCCATATTCTTTTTTCAGCAATGATTTCCACAGTTCATTGTGTAAAAGTGAATCAGTTCCTTCATCCACTGTGTAAAAGTGAATAATCCTTTCATCCATTTTGGATGCGGACCTCTTAAATAATATGACATAGCACTTCTCAACATGAGAATGTTGCCAGAGTGATCTGCTTAACATCAGCTTTCTCTGTCTCCTTTGCCAGGGGAAATACAACTTGCTCATTTGCAGCATAACTCACTACACTGCTCCAGCAATGTGCTCAATCCTAGGAAAAAGGATATTCCACAATTGCAAACCACTTCAGTTTCCAGTAGTTTGCTCTCTGAAATACAGAATATATTTACATATTATTTGCTTAATCACTAGTACAAAATTGTTGGGATTTATTTCTGTAACCAAAAGGCACAGTATGAGTTTTTTTACTTCTCTGTATCACATAGTACCTCTGGTAGCAGAGGTACCAAGGTGCGATAACATTGGGTTGGAACACATTGTGCTTAAAAAGGAAGACAGCATTCTTATGCCAGTCATAAGCCTAAGAAAATGAAACCAAAAGCCTCAAAACCACTTCACTGGCAACAAGAAAATCATAGGTATTTCTGACAAGAGTTTTAACAGAGCTCTGTACGAAAGAAAAGTTAAACTCATTGTTTGTCATTTCATTATTACAAAATAGTTCCCAATGGAAATAGAAATGGAAATGTACTTTTTGTATAACCCCTCTCATTATAGGAAAAACAAAATATTAACAGCACTGTCTCCTAAACTAGTGGGTGTGTGTCTTATCTTTTATTTCTGTACCCTACTTTCAGATATTGAAACAGCTACCTTAAACTTCTTATTGAAGAGTTAAACCATTGAAGTTTCTCAGCCTATTGCATCTTCAGAAAAACAGCAGGTCCAGAGCAGATGGATATAATGACCCTGCAGCTGCAAACTGATCTCAAATTCTACTTTGCCTGTTTGGCTTTGGAAAAATATACATAGAATGGAAAACAAAAAATCCCATAACTTAGAGACAGTATCTTTCAGTTTAACCTCTTGTACCATCAAAATACAGCTTTATATTTTAAGATGAAAATTGCAAACAGATGTCAGTGTATAATAAACTCCTAGAAAACCTTCCCAATTCAAGGAGAACCAACAACTGTGGAGAAGACAACTAGATACAAAAAAAACATTTGTAGGGAAAGGCAGTATCTTTATGGTATCAACTTGTATAGTGAGAAAACACAGACATGCTTTTTGCACACAAAGTTGTAACAGAAATAGACTTGCAGACTAAAGAAACAGGTAACGATTGTTCTCAGATTGTAATTGCATACATAGCAATTAGATCACCTGAGATAAAGAGGTGCTTGGTACACACCTCTGCCGGCAGCCCCAACCTCGTGTGCATCCTACAATCATCGACCATCACAGTTACAGCCATACTACCACAACAGGCGAAATAAGGTGTCTGTTTCTGAAGTAAAGAAGTACTGCAAAGTGTGGACAGTACCTTCTGCGGTGTGCTGGTGAGGCACTGACACCTGGAGAGCTGCTGCGCTGCAGGGAGCTGAATGCTGTACAACCAAGAGACAGATGTGCTGCATTTCCATTGCTTAAACACGTATGCTAAACCAGGGAAAAGCTGAAATTAATCCTCACACACATACTTCTCATATGAAGTAGTGGTGGATGAGCTACCTTTATTACAAGACAAACATGGTATCATGTCACCGCCTTCACCCTGCCTGAACTAGGCAACTGCTGAGGAAGTAACTGGGGTTTTCTTTACCCAACACAGTGACCACAGGCCAAAGATACCTGGTAGCAGGCAGGCTCCAGTCAAAGGTAGGCATGCAGGGCAGGAAGCCGCTGTCACCTCCTGGGGCTCCACCTTGTCCCGCTTTATGACTCGTTAGGAACACGAGAAGCGCCCACACCCCGCACAGCCGCGCCACCTGCGCCGCCCCTTCCCCGCGCTCTGGCCACTAAGAAATGGCCCCCACGGCGGCAGCGCCCCTCAGGGCTGGGGTCGAGGCGAGCAGCCGGGCCTGGCCCAGCGCCGGGCGGCGGGAGGGGAGGGCGCTGCCGAGCCGCGCCCTAGGGGCGGGTCCGTCGCCGCGCTCCGCCTCGGGGTGGCGGCGGGAAGAGCGCCGGGTGGTCGGGAGCGGTGGTGGTGGCGGCGGCCGGAGAGGTAAGGGGAGCCGGGCCGCTGCGGCCTGCGGGAGTGGGGTGTTGCTGGCGGAGGGCACCCGCCGCTGCTGGAGGCGCCTTTGGGCGGGTGGCCCGGCTCGGTGCCCCGCTCCTTCGGGGGAAGCAGCCGCAGCAGGAGGGTGCTGGGGGGCGCCGGGGAGCGGCCCCTGTGGGGAAGGGGCCGAGGTCGCAGGGCTGCCGGTCACCTCCGTGCCGGGCGGGCCGAGCCCGCGGCCGCTGGGGCTCCGGGGGGTGGAGCGGTTCCCGGCAGCATCCCGGAGCCCGCGGCCCTGCCGTGCTCCCCTCTTGGCTGCCAGGGCTGCGTTGGGAGGAGCGTCACCCCCTCCCTGGGCCGCGGGTTCCTGGGCCCTTGGGTTCCTGGCCTGGTCTTGGGGGTCTGGTGCCGGAGGTCGGGCCTTTTCCCCCCGAGCAGGGGAAGCGCGGCCTTTTGGCGGTGGCGTCCATTGAGATGGGGTTGGTTTGCGTTTTCTTTATCCCCACCTCAAAACGCAGCATGAAGCAGCGGCGTGGGGAGCGTTTGCTTGAAAACGCCCCTTTATTGTGATATTTGCGTGAACAGCAGCACTTCTGATCACCTGTCCTGTTCATTTAATCTTACACAGAGTAAACTGAATAAATTACTGCTGTCTCTTGAGAAATCTGTTTAAAACTCTTGTTTAAACTTCGCCAAGTGACTATGGTAAATGCTTTTTCCCCTGTGTGGAAGGCTCTTTCTGCTGCTGTGGATCAGTACATAACACTTGCCACATTGCTGCTTGCTTGTAGGTGCTCTTGCATACCCGCCTCTGTGGAATTAAAGTATTTCCTCTGCCTTAAGCTCCCCTTTGGCTCTGCTGGTGGAGCTGCTCAGGGCTGCACTGTGTGTGAGGGCAGGTAAACAACCGCCTGAGAAGTAACCGGGCTAAATGAGATTTATTTGTGTTTTCTCCAGGTTAGATCTCTTCCCTGACCTGGCTGATGGTGTGGGCTCGGAAACAGTTGTGATGGCCCAGGGCCTGGTATGAGTGACCAGAGGGGGAACTGAAGATGGTAAGAGCTGTTTCAGCTGGTGGTACTGTGAGCAGGTGTGAGGGGCACCTTTGGATCCAGTTATTGTCACTGTTTGCATTTTGCTCATATGGGCTATATGGGTTTTTTTCAGTTTAGATATTGCCAGGCTATTAATGTTTTCTCAAAGTGTAATTTTGTTTTGAACTATTCACTTGTGTGACATGTTTTAGGGTGTTCTAAGATAATTCAGTCAATGCAAAAAGGATCATGCAGCTATTTAGAAAAAACATTTTAGGTTTATCCTTGTGGTTTTCTTTAAGCCTACTAAAGGCTTATTGTACATTAGCAGCAGCTTGGGTTGTGGGGATGTTTAAATGATGATTGAAAGTAGCCTTAAAAGAGTCAATTTGCTGTGAATGGTGCTGACCAAATTAGTGCTGTGTGTGCATTTGGGGTTGTTTCGCCTTGGAGAGTGTTAGAATATTACAACAAAAGCTACTTGGGGGCTGAAGAAATGGCTTTCAGTGAAGGAGGGGACAGTGAGTGATCTCTCAAAGAGCTCAGGCTGTATATTTTATGTAAGAAAGGTGACTGAGAGGCACGTGGATCATAACATGTAAGAGGAATACATACATACGTGTACACACCAAGCCTGTAAAAAAGATGTTAAAAGGATGTTAATCTGGTAGAGGAAGGCTTATGACGAAATAGTATCTGGAAGTTGCTTCCATTTCAAACAGCAAAGGAGTAAGGAATGGAACAAACTGCCTATGGCAAGTGGCAGGTTCGTACTGTGCCTTCAGCCAGAGTCAGGTTCCTTTCTGGAGGGGGAGCTTCAGTTCAATACAGTTAGCACAGGCCAGAGTAAGTGATCTGATGGCCTGTTGTGGTCCTGATCAGCTTGAATCTGTTCTAAAATACTATGTTATTTTAGGCCCCTGAGATATAGGAAGTTACTGGGTCACAGGAATTCCTCAGCAGAGCTGGGAGTTGATCACACATCTGTGGAGTCCCAGGTCAGTACTTTGATTCCCCTTTATCCATTTAAGTAACACCCTTGTTTTGTTTTGTTTTGAGTATGTATCAGGGTTATCAGAGCAGATGATCACAGAAAAAGGCATGCAGGTGGCATTCACCCTACAGTTAGCATAGTAAACTGTAGTGCAAGGGCAAGTGTGTTCTGATGTTATAACTGTGGCAGAATAGCTAAAAGGAAATAATAATTAGGTAAAGGGGTTGAATGTCAAGTTCCTGGTGGTTTGTCAGTTGGAACAGCTGACTCCAAAGTAAACAGCTTATTAGTATGTCAGGATTGATTCCAAAAGGCCATGCTGCTGAGCAGCCACCCAGTGGATCAGCCAGTAAATAATTCTGTGCTTTGTACACAGTTATGTGATGAGAAATGCTTTTCTGATGCTTGAAGAGCTCCTGGCTGTGAAAGAGTAGGGAGGAGCAAGGATAATGGTCTGCACTGGCAAACCACTGTAGCTTACTTGGCAACATGAAGACACCTTTGGGCTTACTTTTAGGTGACTTCTTGCAGTAGTAGGAATATGGTTGCAGCCATGGTGGTGTAAGGATGTAAGTGAACAAAGATTTGCAAGGGCAGGGTGATACCTGTTGTTTTGATAGAAGCTGTACTTGCAAAACAGAACAAACTTTTGGGTGGGTACACCAGCTGCAGGTTTCAGCATCAGTATCCTGGATGTTTTAACATGCTGCACCTCAGATCTTAGTGTGACAGAAAAAGTGTAGCTGATACATTACAGATAGCTTTAGGAAGCTCTTTACCTTAACTCACGGTGGGCAGGAAGGGCTCTAGGGGCTACTCATTTTTCCAGTTTTGTAATCAGTACTCTGGGTGTAATTGCTTTGCTTATGTGAGATACTGAAGATGCATCTGTCTGCATACATGGCTGTGTTCAGAAATTAACCCGGAGATACTCAGCCTTTCCTGACAAAGTTGTGGTTAATTCTGAGTGAATTTGGCAATGGTTCCTTAACAGGGACAATTACGTGCTGCAGTCTGTGCTGTACGCTGTTGCTTCCAGTGATTACTGTTTTGTTTTTCTTCTTTCTGTTTAATTACACTAGCTTTTCCTTCAGTACATAAGTGTTGGGTATTTTTTTCCTTTATCATTCTGAATAAAGTGTAGTCACCCTCTTTTACCAGACAGCTTCTTCCACTGCACTTGTCTTCCTGTGCAGATTCCTATATTGAAGGCAGACAGATATTTTTAAGTAATGGCAGCATAGTTTATAACCTGTGACAACCACCTTATGGACTTTCTTCCATGTTGCTTCAGAGGAAGCTTTAATATGGCACTCCTGAAGTTCTCTATGTATATGTATCTTCTTTTTTTCTCTTTTGGTTTAGTCTGTTATTTATGTTTAAATGGTGGCTAAAAAGAAAGAAAATTACAGCATATGGACAGCATTAAAATATACTAACCTTTATTAGAGACTAGCTGCTGAGATTTTGTGGAAGAAACTGGTGCAGGTGGTGGTTTGCCAACTTCTGCTCTTTTTAACTTGAAGTTAGGCCCGAGAAGTCTTTGCTAACAGAGGAAGCTGCTCTGTAAAGTTTGTTGATGCTTAAGCATGTGAGGGGGAAAAAAACTGTTATGATTATCCTGTCTGTACTGGGTATAGGGATACTGATATATTCATGTACCTGAACTTAAGTCCTTTAATCAAAAAAGAGCATTTTACTGTTTTGATTTCCTGAAAAATTGGTGTGGGTAAGCTTAAAGTTGTAAATATTTCTGGTGTGGTTGGCAGTGAAATTGAGAGATGATCTCTGGAGCTGGTGAAGGCTCCTGGACAGATCCTTGGCTTCTGATTGTTTAACATGAAGTAGGTGCAGCAGCTGCCCTAATTATGTGGTTCTTAGCTAGTAAGGGTTACCCTTTCTTTTCTCTGTACCTTTTTGCTTGAGTATGTTGAGAGATGAATACATCTAAGTGCTATGCATAGCCTGGAATTACAAGAGAAAAGTTGCAATCTGGAAGCTTGATTTCAGCACCTAATAGTTTACCTCTGTAAGTACTTGAGAGGACCCTGGTTTGCTGTTTTTTCACAGCAGGTGATTTCTAAACTGTGACCTGAAAATGCTACCCTCTATGCTGGAAATAATGCTTCGTATTACCTATTTTTTCAGTGTGAATACACCTTGATGCAGTTTGCCTGTTTTCTTTTAGTGTGGTCACAGCTGGGCATTTGAAGCTGGTTAAATGCAGTACACATCAACAGAATTTATCAATTTTTAAGCAAGAAAGCAAGGATTTGATCCAAAAGATACTGCTCTAAGAGCTGGTGAACTAGTTTTGGCAGATCTGTCTGAGTCCTGCAGACAGGAATGGTCTGCTGAACATACTGAACTTTGAGTCCCCTGAAGAGCTTGCCAGGAACATGTTTGGTATGATGTCAGATTGTGAGCTACTTATGTCACAGCATGAGGAGACATTTGGAAGCAGGGTGTTTGAGCTCGATTGCCAATTCAGTGTCCAGAAGAGGTGTTCTAGTATGTCAGGGTGGAGAGAGGTATTCTCATGAGTGCAGTAGTATTTTGGTAGCAGGCTGGGGTGTCTCATTTGCTCAGCAGGTTGTCTGTGTTTATACAAACACATGGCAAGCTG